GTGGCCAACAGACAGACCTGGGTGAGTACGCACCACCCCCACCCAAAGCTGAAGGAGTCTTCACAGGGGTATGAAAAGGAAGGGCTTTACCCTATGCCTGAAACCCATGCTGCAAATCACAACCTGGCTGGCTGTAGCAGAGGGAATCGGACCGCCTCCTTTACTTTGCAAGCAACCCCTACGTGAGGGCAGTGGGAAAAGACAGCCTCAAGTGACCAAAATTTGACATCAGACCGCTTTGCGTCCCTTGCACCGCAATAAATTCCTCTGTGGATGGCACAGCCAAGTTGGCTGGCACCAAATCTGCAATGAAGCCACAAAATAGCTTACAACAGCCACAGTCGCAGCTACTCACCCTCCTGCAGCGGCAGCGTGGAGGCACGTTCTTCCAAAACTATCAGGGGTGTCTATTTCAAAGCCTGCAGACAGCACGTGCTCATTACTAAACAAGGACACTATGCTATACTTTTGTCCTAGTTAAACCACAAGAAACATTGCAGAGACAGAAAAATCAGTTAGTTGGAAAAAAACAGAACGCAAGCAACTACAGTCAGAAAGAGGTTGTCACAGGAACGGCGACCGGCTGCTCCAGTTTGGCAGCTCTATAAAAAGAGCTGCAAAGTCGACGAGCATCTATTTCCGCATCCAGCTCTGCGCCACATCCCTGTGTAAAATCATGTGACAGGCATTTATGAGGCAGATACTTATCAAGAGGACTGCGACAGCAGGACATGAAGACAGAAAACATGAAGAAATGAGGAAAAACCACAGAGCCAGCCTGAACATGAAATGGGGCCATTTTTATCGCGTGTGGTTTTCAGGTTGGAAAGAGGCTTCCAAGAGCACGCAGGGATATTCATCGAGATGCACAAGGCCAAAGATGCAAGCCTGGCAGTATTAACTCTGGTCACCCAGAGCTTTTTCTCTTCCTTCCTGATCTGGTGGTCAAGGCCAGAGCGCACCAAGGTTTAATGTAATGGGGTATGTAATTGCTGTTTTTCACACTTTTTTTTATATCCTACAGGACTCAAGTTTAGGGGAAAAAGTAGTTGTAGGAGATTTTACGTGTTAAGTAATGAAGCCATTTTCTAGAAAAAGCATATGATCTGCCTTGTGATTTTTTAACTCATGGGAACTCTTGCCTGGAAAAAAAGAATTTGGGATTTGGCACCTGATTACTGCCTCTTTTGAAACGGTTGCATCAGCAAACTCCTGCTTCTTCTGCTTTGGGATCCTGAGACTGCTCTCTCGACACTACACTTTCACTCATTTCCCCTCTCGTGCCCACAGAGCTTTGGCCAGCCTAACTCCTTTACTCTGGCCAGATTCAGAAACACACTTTAGCTGTATCTAAAATACATCATCATCATCACTGAGATGTAAATACCTGCGCCAGTGCAGGCCCCAAGGAGATAATTTCCTGAATTATTCCTTTGGGGGGAAAGAAGTCCAAAACAAAACAGTATCTTGCATTCCTACAGTTTGGAAAAGGGTCCTAAATTTCCTCCCCCCTCCCGGTGAATTAATATAAACTCTCTGAACCTGCCAGGAGAAAAGAACTTCAGGCATAAGCAATACAGGATGCGAGGAAGTACCAGCATGCCATTTAGGAAAGCCTCGCACGCTCCCGTACCCCACACCACACAGCCGAACACAGCAGCACAGGAAGTCTTTCATTTGAACAATTCACAACAATGAGTACAAAGGGGCCGTAAGCAGCAGAGACACGCACTACTTGAGCTCCACAGACACTGCGGGATTTACTTACCCGATGACAACAATTTCCTGCAGCAGTCTGAGTGAGCGTTCAGCGCTGCTAAGTGTAAAGGGAACATGTTGTGGATCCCACACCTAAAAGACACAACAGCCTCATTACAGAGAGTCATGTGAAAATGCAGGTTGCATACAGACACAACACATCAAAAGCTCCTTCCACAAAGGCAGCTTTTTTTTACCCTTTTTGAGGAAGATTCTTCCTGCCATATTATTTTTATCTGTATTTCCTTACCAGCCTTCTCAGGAGTTAAAAATATTCTGATACAGCAAAATCTTGGCATTACGCTTTGCACAGAATGTGGCAGGAAGGTTTCTAAAAATTCAAGGCAAAAGCCAAGGTAAGGGAGGAAGCGAGAGAGCAGATATTGCTTGGAGTCAATTTCCTGGTGTGGGATGCACAAATTTCTGCATCAGCTACACATGCTGCAACTGCCATTCTGAGGTGAATGTACATGCCAAAATCTTCTCAATATTATTTCTGAAACCCATTTTTCCTGCAGTTAACATCCTTCAGGTAACTCTCGTGGGTTTTTTAAGCCTCCCCTTCTTCCCTCTCTCTCCCCCCTGGGGCTGGGGTAGCTGACGACTTCTTCACACTTTCCTTTAGGCTGCCGTGACACTTACGGTTTTCTTCCCACGTCCTAAGAACTAAACATCTAATTTTCCTATTTGCTCCAGCTACTCTCCTCATACTCCCTTTCACTTTTTCCCCCCTTTAACACATGACCCTCTTTTCAGTTACGCTATAAACTTCTCAGAGCAGATGTGCTGAGTTAAAAAAAAAAAAAAAAGGTAGGCACCTATCATTAGGCTAAATCTGTATCAGGCAACCACAGTTATTAAACAAGCTGAGCACTCAGCAGCTTTTATTAATATCAGCAAATCATCCCAGTTCAGTCCCTAAGCACGCCGCTGTTCACTGTCTCAGAAGAATTTTAGGTTTGGACATCTTGGCTTCTGTCATTTAACATAGTTTTGTGAAAAGGATCTTGTTCTTCTAGAAATACTATCCTACCGGCAGTCCTCCAAGTGCACATAAATATGGAGCCTCTGAAACCAGCTATCTCGACAAGATTATCATCTACAGCCTGCTTCAGCAGATATATTTTTGAAAAATGACACACTCTTGAACAATAGCAGATGGATTCATATCTGCCCTTCATTTCTGCAAGACAATTGGTGGATGGGAGAGTATGATCATCTCATGGAAGAGGATTTCAGATACGGACCCAAAGACGAAGGAACTTGTCTTTCTGCAAGACTCACCATAAATCATAATTACTTATGAAGCTTTGGACAAAAATGAATGTGGATGTTTATAAAGATATCTTGCTCTCTCCAACATTTTATACATACATGTATTTAACTAATTTTGGTTTGTTTTTAAAAAACTTATTCTTTCCAGAATCCACAGGCCCATCCTTCCTCTGTCTTCACATTAAATGTGTCCTCGTTGCTGCTTTACTACACTAAGGAGTGACTTGTAGTGCTGTACAAATTTTGATTTTGCTAGTGTCAGCATCTACTTCTTTGAGGAAATCTATTAAAAGACGATCTGACAGCCTATTCTTTGAAGGAAACAGCACAAGCTCCATGAAGCTGCTGCATCTGTATAAACAGGTTGCATTTTTTAGCTGTGGATTCATTTATTTAAGCTAACATTGGACATTCTGTATTGCTGTGCTTCTTCCTACACCCATTTCCCTCTATCTCCTCTTCCACCTAGTTATCTAAAGCAATATTTTTCTTTTTTAGGTCAGGATTTCCACCCAGCACATGTTTTGGCTGGTTTCCATTGAAATACACTATCTGCACATCTGCTAACGAGTGTCACACTTCTATAGAGCTGTTCACACTGGTTCCTCCCATCACTTACACACTTTCCCCTTTAAATGCAGTTGCCTTAAAGACTGACCAAGCCGTCTGCAGTTGTTACTAACAACGCTGCAGAATTTTCTTTTCAAAGCCAGGTCAGGGAGCTCAGCCAGAGTTATTTACATGCAGCACATACGAAAGCCCATTCCCGGCATTTCAATGCTCCTTATTTAGCACAGACAGTAGCATCGTTTGGGTCTGCCTGGTCCAACTTCATATTTCACTTATTTCTGCTGCTGGAAAAAGTATTTTATTCAATCAGTGTTCCAGTCACCCAAGTGTGAAATAGAAATTTCTAACTGGATAACCCTGATTCTAAGAGTGGGCTATCCCACTGCATCTCATTTTCCCTTTAAACCTCAAGATAAGAAACAGACTGAGACTTACGGTACTGGAGAAAGAGGTAGGAAAAATACACATCTTTTTAGACACCAAGATCTTTATGCTGGCTATGTTAATAAAATCCAGTGACGTTAGCTGAAGCCTGTGGAATTTCGTTATCCATGCCAACTGAAGATCTGTTCCACCTTCCGAGTTTGCATGGTGACAGTCATACTTGATAAAGGAATATGGGCAAATGTGCTACTTTCTTAAACATCGTCAAGCAAACAAACAAAATACTGAGAGCTGCAAGTATCTTCAAAACTAAAACCAGTTCATTTGCATCGGAAAGCAGGTTTTCCTAACTAGGTAAGTCAAGAGAAGTCACTGATTTCTATGGTAGGTTCTAGATAGAAGATTCTTGAATTATATTTTGGAGACATGTGGAGGTTATTGCCGAAAACTTACATTCATGAAATCAGATGCTGCTATTAAACACCTGGTACAGATATCCCTCATGGCATTGCATTACTCCCCTTTGTTTACCTTCAGGTTTGCTATTTTCTTTTGACAGACCATAAGAACCTGAACATAACTCACTGATACTCAAGTACTCTTAAAAATCAATCACCTGCCAATGTTTGAGTTGACAATACTTATCATATTGTGGGTGCAGTCTTGACACGTGCAAGAGGAAAAAAAAAACAAACAAAAAATTGAATTGAAGCAGAAAGCACTAACAACATTTAGAAATGTATCTTATTTCAACTCCTTGTCCTTCTATTCAAAAAAGACTCCCAAATTCAAAAATCAGATAAAAGCAGTCCTATTATTTCAGCCACCTGAATATCAGAAACCATGCAACATCAAGACAGGCTCTAGTTATGTTGAGATCAGAAATACTTAGTAACATCTGCTTTGCAATACTGCATTTCTATTGATTGTCCTATGTCATACCAAAAGATACAAGACAAAGAATAATCACCATGTATGACAGACCGCTAAACATTTGGCTAATTTAGATACTAAGGAATATGCACACAATTCCCTTGGAAGGCATCTGAATTTTTTTCAATTACGTTTCCTATACGAACTCGTTGCTACAGACTTCCTGGAATAACTGTGATCAAGGTGCACTTTATATACACATATGTACTTCATGTACCCCACATACCACTGTGCCACATCAATGCTTTAGGAAAAAGAAGCAGCACTTGTACTACCTGTAACCGTGTAACTGGGCACAATAGGGACTTAGCAGGGCTTCCTTCCCCCCCGCACTTCCCAAGTGTTCATATTTTAGCCCCATGTCACCCACTGAAGTACAGTGGGTACTGAAGTACAGTACAATTGCGCTTATCCATTTTAACCTTCACACTTCAGAACCCGAGGAGTAACTGTGTTTCCAGGCATTGGACATAACACTTGATCAGTGGAAACAGCTCCACTTCAGCCACCTACTTGGCAGTATCAGCTCCGCTGGTTATGAGGGTGTTAATCAAAAGCTCATGTCCGTATCTTGCAGCCACGTGCAGAGGGGTGTTACCGTCCTTATCAACACAGTCGATTTCCCCTCCTGCAAAATACATTTTCATACAGCTTAACACTGAAAGATTAAGCATGAACCAGTGACACAAACATTATTTCTCTCTAGTGGATGCAGCATAACCAGTCCAGCCACAGAGACAATTTCAGAGACCAAGAACCAGCACACAGCAAGCTGTCAGCTGTCAGCCACTGGTACTGAACATGGTCTGGCAGCAGCATTTTCACCTCCCTCTCCAACTGCAGTGGTGAGGAAAAATGGTGGGAAACAGGTGAACAGGATGACATACAATGGTCAAGTACATGATTCAGACTTGCTGCTCATCTAAAGGTGCAAATGGATGCCTTGAATTAAACTAACAAAATAAACAGCTGAAACTATGCCCTCATTTGTAAAGGCATTGCCACTCAACCTTACCTGTAAGACAACAATGTTAAATAGAGTTCATTCAAGAGGCCAGCAGGAACACACTGCAAACAAGCAGCATGTTGTGTGCCTTCTCTGTGTCTTACCAAAGAACAACCAAACAGCGCTTAAGTAGAACTTTTCCTGTTGCAATTTAAGCCTCTCATCTTGTGTTTTATCCTCACAAGCAGGAAAAATAGATTATTTCTTTCTTCTCTGCTGCAGCTTTTGACCCATGCAAAGATTGCTATCAAGTCCTTGTTTTCTTCTTGGACCAAGGAACTGTAATTTTTTCAGTCTCTCCTTGTAAGTCAGGTTTGCTGCACTCCAACTATTCTCATCCTTCCCCCAGTCCTCTCCAGCTGGCCCACATCCTTTTGGAAGTAAAATGTCAAAAGCCAGAAACAGTACCACAGCTGACGTCTCCCAATGCTGAGCTGAGCAAAAGGATTACTTCATGCCTGCTGGCTACGCTCCTATCTATACACTGCTGTACATTGTACAGCACCATGTATATTGTTGATCATTTTTTTAAGCATCATGACACTGTTGACTTGTGGTCAACAGGCTTCTGATCCTCTACAAGCCCCAGATCCTTTCTTGAGGAACTGCCACCCACCCGGCTGTTGTCGTTCTGAACTTGTCCAACTAGTACTCCTGCCTGTGTGTGGGATCTTTCCTTTGCTTCACTCCCATTATAACTTCTGTCTCAAATTTTACAGGATCATTTTCCATTCTGACTCCACCTTCTGCCAAACTAACAGTCTCTCCCAACTTCATAGTTTCTCCAAATGTTAAAAACACATTTTCTATTACACTTTCCAAGTTGTTAATGAAAATACTGGACAGTTGCAGACCCAGGAGGGAAACTGAAAACCCCCTCACTACACCTTCCATTTCAACAACAATCCATTTATTATTAATCTCTGAGTGCAGTTTTTCAACTAGTTATGCACCAACACTGTAATATTTTAATACTCCACTAGTTTGCTGTCAGAATACTTTATGAAAGCACATAAAAAGTCTTGCTAACATCAGGATATAGTAATATTTACTGCATGTCCACTATTCACAGGAGATAACAAGCCATAACTGCAACAAGAAAAGTTCTAGTAGAGCACTATACAGCATTTTCTAACGGTAAATAAAGGTCAGTGAAATGCTGGAACAGGTTCCCTGGGGTGGAGCCTCCACCAGCGGAGGTCTCCATGAACATTAATTGCCCACAGAAAAGTCAGAGGACTGTGCTGTGTTCACAAAGCCTATTACCCTGCTGTAGAAGAGAATTATGATATTTCACCATCTTTTACTCTTGAGAAATCTATGCCAAATACTGCCCACTCCTTCCTAAGTGTTTACAAACAGTTTGTTCATTCGCTCATTTCAGAATTTTTGGCTGACCTATGTAAAATTCTCCAGCTTTTCTTTTTCCCCATTTTTAAAAATAGGTATCACATTTGCAATTTTCCAATTTTAAGGTAATCCATTCTTCATAGAATCATAGAATAGTTTGGGTTGGAAGGGACCTTTAAAGGTCATCTAGTCCAACCCCCCTGCCGTGGGCAGGGACATCTTCAACTAGATCAGGTTGCTCAGAGCCCCGTCCAACCTGACCTTGAATGTTTCCAGGGATGGGGCATCCACCACCTCTCTGGGCAACCTGTGCCAGTGTTTCACCACCCTCAGCGTAAAAAATTTCTTCCTTATATCTACTCTAAATCTAGCCCCCTTTAGTTTAAAGCCATTCCCCCTTGTCCTGTCGCAACAGGCCCTGCTAAAATGTTTGTCCCCATGTTTTTTATAAGCCCCCTTTAAGTACTGATAGGCTGCAATAAGGTCTCCCTGAAGCCTTCTTCCTCTACTACAGCATCCAGAAATTGAGACATCTTCAGCCCACTCATTAAGTGCTGCAGAATGAAACTCCATTTCTTTAAATAATTGACATTTTTCTCTTCCACAATATGCCATGGCAATGAGGCATGAAGTCACCTGCAATCAGATCTGTGTACAATACTAAAATTAGAGAGGCAGCAAACGAAGAAAGAAAAAAAAGAAGCGAAATCTAAGTAACTTGAAGAAGAGCAGAGGGGTGTGAAGGACAGATGAAGAACTCCAGTCCTTTCACACACAAATCCAACAGAGAGCAAACAACAGCTGTAAGTCAGAGAGCATATTTGACTAAACAACTAAAAATTGCATTAAAGCACAGTTTCTTCCAGTTTCCCCAAACTCCTTTTATTATTACTATTTTATTTATCCAAGGAAAGATATGACAACAACTTGCATGATGTACTGAAGACCTCCATTTTAAAATACAATCTTGTGTAAATGTGTCATTACATTTACAGCGTAACTGTTCAGCCATCTTCAACATCTCACACTTAATTTCCAAGTTTGGGATTTTGGAAAAAAAAACAAAAAAAACCAACCAACCAACAAACCCCAGACCAACCTGTCCGGTACAGTGGCCAAAGCTGGGAAGCATAAGTAAACAATAATAGCAACCTCTGTCAGTCAGAAACAGGCCTCTGCCAGATCTCCAACGATAATATTTGTTATACTCTGTACTATTCTTGGACAAAAGAGATACCTGATAAATGACTGATAATCAGGAATCCTGGCTATGCCAGAACAAACAAGGTGGCACTGGTCCATCCTCCTGGGTATTTATTCAACACTTAATGAAGACAGCGGTGAGGGGTGGAGCTAAGGGAGGTGAGAGAAGTACAGCTGCTGAGTGGAGGGCAGAGCAAATGGTCTGAGCTCTGAGAACACCAGGGCTCCCAAGGGAGGACAACTAGAACCTTTTTCTTTTTTTAGTTTTTAAACAAGTTGAGAAAGAAAGCTGTGCCTGCTTCTCAGCAGAAAAAAAGACATAAATACAGTTTTGAACTCTTGTTTTCAGGTTAAGAATTACAACAGATCAGCTGGACCACCGTCAGCTGGAGGAATATGGGATTTTGTTAACAACCAAAATCTCAACTTGTGATGACACACTGGAATGAGAGCTGTCAGTGCAGCTCGAAGCCAGAAGTTGATGGAGAGCTAAGCAGCTCTCAGAACAGTCCTTTGGCACGCTGGGTCAGAACAACTGAAAATTGCAACCTTGGAAATGCCTAATCTTTTGGAGACTTGTTAAACAGGCACAGAAACTCACCATTCTGAATGAGGGTCTGCGACCGCGTGAACCTCCCATGGACAGCTGTCATGTGCAGCGGGCTCTTCCCATCCTTACTCTAACAGAAACAAAACATAAACCCAACCTTTAGCATGTAAAGTGGTGGTAACAATTTGAAGTCTCTCAGCTCAACATCCTACAGCTACTCCTCAGATAGAACCTCCACTAGCTTCAAAAGTCTGTAGGGCTGAATCTATACATGATGGTAAATGCAGAAGGCATGAGCATACAAGTAAAACAGTTCCTCAGCAATGAGTAGGAAATGGGCTGGAGTGGAGCCTGTCCTTGCAGCCTGGATGTACACAATACCTGCTAGAAGCCTACAGATATGTGACATATTATTCTTGAATATTATTTTTAAGTAACATTTCCCATTCAGTCATTGTTTTCCCTAATCCTTGCAAAGAGGGGAATAAAGAAAAGCAAAGGAACCGTAAAGCTAAGTAGGAGCAGTCTCTGAGAGATTCAAGAACTATATCCTGTTTATCAATCTGCATTTTATAGATACAACCCAGAATAAAAGCCTCTTTAATATATTAAAAAGTTTTGGTTAATAAATATTCACGCAATCAAAAATAGGATGTCTACAAAAGACAATTAGAAAACAGAGAAGGCATATGAAAGGAAAGGTACAACGAGTAGAGATCAATGTTTTGGGTTCTAGAGAAAGAAACTGAGATTGGGGAAGCCGAGGAGCTGCAAAAATAGCAAGGGAAGGGTACCAGCCTCGCTGCTCACAGCACTTCATGTTTATTGGCATGGGGTTTTTGCAATCATTGGCACACATAGTCCCTAATTTCATTTTAATAATTCTGAGTTTAAATAGTGCACTGACTATTCACTGATCTCAGGGGACTTGACAGAGGTGTTAAATGCTAGGAGACGAGTTTTACAGAGGGGAAACTGAAACACACAGAGTTTAAAGTAAAGCAGTCAAAATCTTATATGAACTCAGAGATCTTAAGCCTTCTGGTACCTATCCCGGTACCCTGTTGGATAACAGCAAGTCCCTTTCAGCTTCATCAAGATGTATCAGTTGTATCTCAAGAGCATTCAGATATCCTAAACAGAAACAGACTTTGTAAACTCAGGCTCTAAAATAGGTAAATGTTGTGGTTTAACCCGACAGGCTGCTAAACACCACAGAGCTGTTAGCTCACCTCCCCCCCGCCAGTGGGATGGGGGAGAGAATCGGGGAAAAAAAAGTAAAATTCGTGGGTTGAGATAAAGACAGTTTAATAGGACAGAAAAGGAAGGGAAAATTAATAATAATAGTAATGATAAAAGAATATACAAAATAAGTGATGCACAATGCAATTGCTCACCACCTGCCGACTGATGCCCAGCCAGTTCCCGAGCAGCGGCCACTGCCCCCCGGCCAACTCCCCCCAGTTTATACACTGAGCATGACGTCACATGGTATGGAATGTCCCTTTGGCCAGTTTGGGTCAGCTGTCCTGGCTGTGCCCCCTCCCAGCTTCTTGCTGGCAGGGCGAGAAGCTGAAAAGTCCTTGACTAGCGTAAGCACTACTTAGCAACAACTGAAACATCAGTGTGTTATCAACATTATTCTCATGCTAAATCCAAAACACAGCACTGTGCCAGCTACTAGGAAGAAAATTAACTCCACCCCAGCCAAAACCAGGACAGTAAACAACCAACCTTCAGTTCTTACTTCCCTGGGAAGGTCAAAAGGAACTTTTTAGAATCAGGTTTAATTAAATCCATATTGTAGGGGGAAAGAAAACACCAGAAAGGAATAGTTCCTTGACTTACCACCATTCCCTGAGATAACATTTTGACAGAGCTCCTGGGACTATATTTTAGTAGTGGTTCATGCCTTCAGGAGAGTGGCTGGCCTAGAGTTTAAAGCTGTCATTATATTTATCAAGGCACTGAGAGCTCCTCTGCTGGGAAGTAATCTCATCCAAACAGTTTAGTGATCAACATTCTCAGCATCACTCTACTTCTGTCAAAGATTTAAAGCCATGCTGTACTCATTATTACAGTTTCCAGTCTCCTGAGGTATGCAAAATAAGATAAAGTAAAACAGAAGAGCTGCAATGCAAGTTTTACCTGAATGTTAACATCTGCCCCATTATTCACTAGTAGTTCAAGACACAGTGCTCCATGAGTGGAGGCAGCAGCAAAATGCAAGGGAGTGAATCCATTATTATTAGGCTGATTTACATTAGCACCATAGTCAATCAGCTCATTGACAACAGAATCCTGACCATTGTAACAGGCAATGTGAAGTGCAGTATTTCCATAGATGTTCATTTCATCAATCTAAAATGAGACAAGGAGACATAGTTAAAATTACAGACATCAGCTTACCATTTTACATAATGCATCACATACTGCAAATGGAAATAGCTGGAGGCTTAAACAGTCATAGGGCATATTTCTCACCTCCAAATTTCATTGACAAAAATATACTCCCAGAGAGCCTAATTTGGAATGCTTTACCTTTACTATTATTAACTTCTTATCCTACTGGCAATTTCTTAAAGCTGATAGCAGGACTATGTAATGATGATGACAAAAGTCCTAACAAGCTGGAAAGCTTTTACGTATCAGTGGGAAAGTAGGATAAATAAAAAGCTCACAATCTTTATTTAAAAAAAAATTAAAACACCAACTAGTGAATATTTCTGAACAGAATCAGGCTTAAGAATTCTTTCCACAGATTTCTTTTCAGAAGGGAGTGAAGGTGTCTGAGTGAAGGGAAGGTGAAACTCCACAGCCATTTACACTTCAATAAGGAACTACTTTCAGTAGCTCAGTATTATAGAGTTGCAATTAAGATTATGTTACTTCTTGATGACCGGTTTAGTATTCAACTGCTGTTCTGTAAAATAGGACAAGACAGACTGTATAAAAGACTCAGGGATGACGTGAATACCCTTCCATGAAATACAGGCATCTCAAAGATCATATCCCCAGTGGTGGAGAATAGGGAAGTTAAAGGTAGTTATTAGCATAGTACTGCTAATAACAGGAAACACCTATTCCCCTTCAACTTCACAGTCAACAGCCTATGAACACGGACTTCTGACATTTTTTTGGCAGGTCAAGTCAGCTGAAAATGCAATGGCAAATGCAACGGCTTTATTTGACATGTCTGATTAACCAGTGCAGGCTCTTCAGGTCATCTCACTGCTGCTTTGAACCACTGAGTTGACAATATTACAGTAAGAGAAGTCTGTGCCCTGAAAAAAAGTTCTTTTCCAGAGTGAAAATAATCCCTCTTCTTCCCTCTGTCAGCTACAGAGGAAATACAGGTCCCTAAACTTATACAGCCTGAACTGCTGTTTAGTAAAATACGCAGTGTGTATGTTGAGAACAACCGCTCATCATATCAAAGTGAATGCTGAGCCAAGGGAAATTTCATTATTCCGTCTTTCTCTGCAGGAACAGCATTATTTCCTGATTTCTTCAGCAAGGTGGCCTGGAATTTACTGTCCATACCAGACGTGTTTTATTCCAGAATGTTTCCTGGCTCTTGAACCAATAAACCACATGAAGAACAAGGTGGTTCAGAGAATGGGAACTATTTTCTTTAGAAGCTCTGCCAACATCTGTAGCAGCATCCATAAGAAAGAAGAAAATAATATCTCCAAATACGGAGAAACGTGGAAGCCACAAAGAGCACATTACCACATACCTCTACCCCCAGGTTAAGGAGGTGTTTCACAATGTTAATCTGCCCATTGGATGCAGCTGCGTGAAGTGGGGTGTATCCCTTCTTGTCTTTACAAGTCACTTCTGCACCATGATTAATCAGTAAGGCAACAACTTCCAGGTGACCTTCAAAAGATGAAAGATAGTAATCAATGAGTATACCATCCTACAGCATCACTTCTCTCAAATTACTTTCTTGCTAATGCACTGCCCCTTTCGCTGCTGTTTCACAATGCTCCCACAGATTTACAAGGAGGGAAAAAAAGCATTTTCAGAAATGTTCCTAATCCTGGCTCCAGGCCTTGTCAAGAAATCCATGCATTCACCTTCACCAGATGTGTCAAATTTCTCTTTACCGAATTAGTTTTCCAGTCATTAAAAGAACAAAACCACACCTCTTTCCCATTTATTTCTCTAAAAATAACCGTGTTTTATTCTCCCTGTTACAGAAAGAACAGTGAGCACAGGAGCGTGACAATACAAGTCTCCCAAAACAGCATCCTGTTGATGTCATCTGCAAACACAACTGCTAACACTTGTTGGTTTTTGTTAACTTTAATAAATGATAAAACGAAGGTAAACTCTTTCCTAGCGCCATTGAGGACACAGAAAACTAAGCTTCAATGAGTGCAGAATTTGATCCAAAGCCTACCAATACAAACACAAGATCTTCTACTGAATCCACTGATCTTTGGATCAGGTTTTTGACTCTCCAAAACTGTATCATTAACACAAAACTGCAAAAAATCCTGAATATAGGTCTAAAAATATTTGAATCTGAACTCATAGTCTATACACACATACTTAGTCTGCAAACTCAAATAATAGCAATAGCCTCAACAGTCACATAGATTGAAAGCAGACTGCCGGATCGATGGGACATCTGTCTTCAGGAGTGAAATGCCTACCCCTGAATTAGGATCTCCCTACAGAATACAGGGGAAGAGCTGAGCATCTCAAAATGCAACTTACAACCCACATGTATCTTCAGTTTCCTCGTTTCCCTGAAGGTCTCAAACCATCTGGCCTGCCTTCCCAGACAGTGCCCTAACCACCAAAATTAAATCAAGGCTAACTGAGGAACAGTCCTTATTGCTTCATGTTGAAGCAGAGCTGCCTTTCTTAGAATTAAAAATTTATTACGTCAAACACCATATAAAAGTTGTGCACCATCTGAGCTGTGCAGCACTTTCATGACAGAGGCAGCTCTGGTCACATGCAGGACCTAGGAAACTTTATGGACAAAGTCCAAAGTGCCCAAAGATATTTAAGCATTCAAGTAACTACCTGAGTGTTTACAGGATAAGATGCTCAGGTCTCATTATCTAAATTCTGTCCAAATTACACTACAGACTCCTAAATCCCATTGCTAATTTAGGCCTTAAATGTTATCTAAATATTTTGAAAAGTACATCATGAATTTCTGGAAAGAATTAAGAGCAAAAGAGATGTGGAATTGCACAGCACAATGTAAAAGCCTTTCACCTCTACAGAGTGGAGTTCAGAGCTTGCTAGCTCAAAAGCCAAATCACATTCATTGGCAAGAGTCTTTCCATCTGTCTGTGTATATATCAAAAAAATGCACAATATGCTTTTCTCACAGTTTGAAATCTCCTATTATCTCATTTCCAAAAGTGCCAGGATTAAAATCAAGATTTTGATAGGTCAGATGAAAGAGTTCCTGGCTGAGGGCACACACTCCACAAATTATAATCTGGAATATACTGCTCGGACAACAAAAGCTCTTGAACAAGCCTGACAACTATCACAGGCAATCTTGTTCTATTATTTCTAAATTATAATGCCCCACTATAAGAAATTTTCCTTTAACTTAAAAGGAATGATAAGGTCAATTGATTTAATTAAGCAGTATTTGGTAACACCACTGATGCCTTGAATAGACAAATCGGTTGCTCTTGTCCACTCTGGAATAAAAGACAACAATTTGCTCCTAACAGGAAGAAAGCCTGTGAAGCACTTCCTAACAATATCATAACTTAGCTACTTACAAACATAGATAAACAGCAAAATTTATGATCGTATTTATCTGCATTTTATATAAAGTAGTTTTTAGTAAAAACTGAAACAAATATAACCTGTATTTTTTCAAGCCCAAATATACTTCAGACTGGAATTAAAGTCAGGATAAAAAGACCAAAATGAAAAAAGCAACACAAAAAGCCCACAATTAATTGTGTTAAAAAGGAAATCACAGCCAAGTTCTCACCAGCTGCAAAACTGTAAATGGACAGTGTGTATTTAGATTAACCCTTCCCTCTTCAGGGTAAACACAACGCTCACTTTCCATGGCCAGGTCTGCTCTTGTCCATTTTAAAACATGCTGTTGGTTTGTGAATAGGAAATTAAAAAGAAGGAGCAACAGTCCAAGCCTTACCCATGTACGCTGCCCAGTGAAGAGCTCTTCTGTCCTTTTTGTCAAAAGCATTGATGTTTGCCCCCTTGGCTAAGAGCAAGTTCACCATCTAGAAGTAACAGCAGCAAGTAAACCAACCCTGTAGATCACACACTCAACAGGTTATAACAAATCATTCTAGCAATAAAGTTGGGATCACAAAATCCTGCTTTTGAATGATAATTTTGTGAATTACACAAATACTGTTCAAAGCTGTGTGCATTAATGACATGAACCGGTGACGGCCACAAGTAACCAGGACAAGTTCTGTGTCCACGGGGGGGCTGAGAGCATGCAGGGTGCTGCTACTCCAGTGTGCTTCAAATCCAGCTTGGCAAACAACCTGGAAGAGAAACCGGCCTGGAGGAGAAACATTGCTTTTAGTTTTTACTGTTAAGACCAATTTAAGGGGTTTTCTTGTGGATTGGGACAAGATTCCTCCAGACTGTAAGGTAACAAACCCTAAAATCTGCTTGATCTTTCAACAAGGAGTGTCTATTTCTTGCCATGCCACAGTGATTTTCCTTAAGTTCCCATGTGCCCAAGGCAGTGTGGACAGGCACCAGGCTGCTTCGCATACGACACTGGCCTTTTAGACAGCATGGCTAAGAGGTGAAAAGCTGCTTTCCCCATTGCCAATCATCCAACATCAAATTTAAGAAAAATCAGGCAAAAAAAGAAAGGAAACTGAATGGAAAACATGTTCAACAACTGTCTTTTTCAGCAAAACATTCTAAAATCATAAATTACAGAGCTGGATGATTGTCTTCCTCTCATATACTGCTTTGCCACAGAGATAGGCTAATAACAGCGTATGTTCAGTTAACATTTCTGATACACTCTATCCAAAAGCTCAGGAGCTTTAGATTATGATGGTTAGACTCAAGCATTACTATCTCTTTCCTACAGTGCAGTATTTTAAAGGTCAAGCACCATCATCGTTTTACAGGAACTACCATTCCTCCTCCTTCTTTTCATTACAGTACAACTGATCAACTTTTGTTGACAGAAGCCTAGTGTTCCAGCCTAAGAGTTTTTATTCCGTATCTAGATCTTCAGGTGTGTAATGGGCAAACGAGGATCCTTGCACCCAGATCTAAAGACGCTAGCAAAACCTTTTACATAGGGGTTTTATTTACAAAAGTATGTTTTTTTCATATAGAAACCGTAATTAGACTAGAAGGGTTTGCTTGTATAAGATAAGGAGAAAAACCAGAAGGACATTTTCTAGAAGACTAATTAGAAAAGCAGACCGACTGGATCTCACAGAGCTGAACATTTCTTCAGTATGAAATGAATCCACCAGTCTTCCCTTCTTTCCATTCTGCCACTCCTATTTTCGCAGGCAGTCAAGCTCAAAAGAGCCAAGGACACACACGAGTTGCCGGAGCCAGTGGCACAGCCAGCTCTCCAAGTCTGCATGCACACCTCACTTGCATGCTGGCTCTGCACAGGTACTTTCCAGCCACTGCCTCGTTTCTGCAGGTAGGAAACCTGTCGCACAATTTGGAAAGCAGCTGAATGATAGGAATCATGGGGGTCAGGGACATGGGGCTCAGTCTAAACCCAGCCACAGCAGGTCAACTGTTTGAACTGGGAAAATAAATAAACCAACGATCAATTACGCTCTTCAACAACTCACCTCAATGTGGCCATTCAGAGCTGCATGGTGCAATGCCGTCCGCCCGCCTCGGTCAGAGACGTTGACACTGCTCAGCATGGGGATGATGACTTCCGCACACTTCACCGCCTTGTTTGCAGCCGCCACATGCAACGGTGTCTGCCAGTTCTTGTCCCGAGCATTGACATCGGCCGAGTGCTTAATCAATACTTGCACTGCTTCCTGCAACGGAAACACAGTTATATCCGTAACCGAGCAGTTCGAATAAATACACGGCCCACCTTCTTGACAGCTCGATCATATTACCTATGCATATTACTTATGCATATCAGACATGGCCACGAGGAAGGAAAGAGAACAACATTTATCAAAACAACCTTCCAGGCTAGTGAACTGATATTGCTGATTCAAATGCCAGAGCACACACCACCTTTGCTGTCAATTAGAGCAGTGTCCTCACAATCAAAATTTCCCAATCTCATTTTAGGCTGTACAAAGCTGCCTATGCAGAGAGCCCAACCTGTTTGGTTGATTAAGCTTCAGTACCACAGTCATCGTAACTGTGCTCTCATTGAAGAAATGAATGTACTTATTTGAGCTCACTGTTACAGAAATTATTTACAAAATGAAAAGCACATCATTTTGGACAGTAAAATCACAGCAAATTGCTGTAAGATTTATTTATAAACAGGAAAAAGGAGAAAATAAAACAGAATATGTGAAAACAAAATTTTATCTTTGCAAAAACATGAGAATCACACGCAAGGGTTGATGCTGGTGTCCCCAAGATAGCATTAGCATTCCTTCCCTCCCTGAGGGCTAAGCATAGGCCAAGGGTCTTCACTGCAACATCCATTCTATCAGCCTGAGACCAAATAACATCTTTTAAGGTTAATTTTGTTGGTTAAAAGTGAATGTTTCCCAGTGAGAAAATGTACTGTTCTCTCTGAGAGACTGTCTCACTGGAGAATTCACAACCAGTTTTTTTCTGCTTCTACTCATGCATCTGCCATTAAGCAAGTCAGATGAAAAAACAAGTCTCCCTCAAAATTACATTTTGTTTCTTCTTCCTTTTTTCCCCACAAACAAACAAAATACAAAGGAACCATTGGGACACAGTAGCATTCAAGTAGCCTTGTCTGCTAATACAACTTAGAGCTGGTAAGTGGGAGAGCCCTAGTCCTACATAGTACCTTATTCTTCTTCCATAAACCGAAAAGTTTTCTAGTAAGCCCGGCCAAAATTTTATTAATGAATAACAAACACACACAGTGTGTTTAAATAGCACTTTTGTATCTAGAATGGCCCAGGACAGTGCCTGCAGTCTGTATCAACAGTACATCCATTACTAGGAGTTTTAGTTCTTTGTCCTCAACCAATCTCAGCAATTTCATTTTCTACAGCCATCTCACAAACTGTCCTCTAACAGATTTGTTCAGTTAGTAACACTGCACCTCTTACAGCATCAATAAAGATATATCACTGTTGATGTCTCAACAGGATTTTGTTTTTTAAATTACAGGCCTGCTATTTTAAAAGTCATTTAAATGTAATTCACTGGAGACCTACCCAGCTGGGACATGAAGTCAGTAGGAAAATTCATGCACTTTGACTCTTAATGAAGGAAACAAAAAGCTAAAGGAGAATTTTTAGCAGTAAATAGTAAGGACTGAAAAGTCTAAGCTAAAAATACTTAGACTTTAAAAAAAAGCATTTACACATTTTTGTTTACATCTACAAATCTCTTGCTTTATCAGATTTGGGATCAAAATGTTAAAATCCTTATGGAGAAGTTTTAATTTTACTGCTTTTGAGAGCATGAGCTATCCCTTTTTATTAACATAATTTCTACATGTGCATGCAGTCCACAGCTATGGTGTAAGCCTCTGTATTCAGTGTCTCTAGCTACCCCAAGGTAACAGAGTGGAATCGCTTTACTTTTTCAAACCGTATAAGGCTGAAAGCTGATACATCCATTAACAATCCTGCACAGACACACCTGAGGGTTGTTCATTGGTAAATAAACTTTTAAATCCCTAAAGCCCACTTGAAAAATCAATAAGACAACTAAAAATGTGTTCATGCTTTTAATCAATCTATAAAAGGGTGCAAGGAGACACCTTCTGAATCCTGTGAAAACTTCATAGTAAAAGATTGATAATAAAACTTGTAGGTGATCATTCTGTGAGCAACTGTGCTCACAGGAACTTCAAAAACCACACCGAGTCCTGCTGGTCAACTTCCGGACCATAAATTCATCTCCTACTATCAATGTGTACTATGAATTCACCTATTGCTACCTACTACTATCACTATCAGTTTCATCCTATTATATTGAAGCTGCACATTTGTTAGCTTAGGTAATAAAGTAAAAGCAGCACTGAAAGAGTCTCAAAACGCTGAATCTTGTTTCAGAATTATTACCAAAAGTAGCAATTATCACATAAGATACAAAAGACCAGGAGAAGAAAGCTCTGTGTGTTTATAAAATATATAGCAGACCATGGAAAGGCATCAAAGGCTGGTGCCTTCCCCTGCTGCCTCACTATTGCAGCTGGGTACTCACTTTGAGGTACCAGAACTTAACTTCCGGCACAATGGAAGACAGTTTCTCATTGTGCAATTGGCCTTCAGCTGACAAAGAGTTAAAGATGAGACACAAACCCACAGAAAGACGTACATTTTGTGTTAGGACTGTCACTGACAATAAAAATCATGTATTCTGACACATCCGAAAAAAGAAACCAATCACACTGCAATTCCCGCATCAGAAAGATTGTGGCTGTTTTTTAAGGTTTAAGCCTGACCTTTGTTTTCCAACATGGCTTTTTGTATTTTGCCTCATTACAGCATTCATACTCTATCAGATATTCCTTTCAGAGGGTTTCAGCGGATGCCAGCAGCTGGGAAGCTCCGCCAGCAGCCAAACAATGCCCGAGTTCAGAAGCAAGCCCAGGATTCCTGCCTCCAGGCTTGGCAAGTGCTGGGACTGTTACAGAGGTGATTCGAGTCCATCAACCTCTGGAAGACAGCCACCCTCTGTCTCTTTTACAACCCCTCCCCTCATCCCCAGCAGCCAATTCGGTCTGCAGTTGGGCTCACTGTTAACTAAGTATTAGGAGGATAAAAGTATACAGGGAGGTCCAAAATGGGAAGCCAAGAATAATGGTGCAGTTGAAAACAGAGTCAGGCCTGAGCTGCATTCCTGATAGTTATTGCTGCTCCTTTTTGAGATAGCAACAGAAGAAGTACAACATGATGCCAGAAGATTTCTAGTTGTCAAGTAGAAGAAATATGGGCTAAGCCTCCTTTATGCATGAATCAAATGCATTAACAGAAAACCTAATGGATGCCTTGAAATGCAATTAACCAAAACAAACTATGTGGTAATACGTGTTGGATCACATACACGTCCACTCCCTTCTGGCACACGCACAGCGTGCACACGTCCATATGGATTTATTCCTCTTTATTTCACCACTTGAAGATGATGTGGCCACTGTAGACCACTGTGCACTCTATCCCATTTCAGTCCTGGTCACCCACTCCAGCTGATGGTTGCTCAATATGACTTGCTACGGTAACGTAAAGCATTCCACAAGGCAAAAATCAAGCACATTAAGGCTCAAAAGCAGCTATAGCTAACTTGTAAAAGCTGGCCTCCAGCTGCAATGCTAAAGGCCCTGCACACAGAAAATGCTTTCCCTGTTTGCGTCACCATGCTACCTACTATGGCTCTCAGTGGTTTGCCTTTTCCCCCAGCATGTAGTTTACGTGCAAAAGCAGGGTAATCAAATTCTACTCACTCCACTTCTTGAAGCAACTGCTCGATGGAGAGGAGTCAGCCACATATTGTCCTTGGCATTAACACGAGCGCCTGCAAGTAAACAGCAGAGGTTACATCCATGCCTTGGGTGCGACATTGAAAACCTTGCCCAACTGTTTCCTAGTAACAAGAGCTGAGCCGTATGTGGTACTCTCAGCAGTCCCCATGACTCTCCTAGCACCCTGTTCACCTTGGAAATGCATTTCCAGAACCCTGATAGATAGGACCTGAAGCGTGACTCCGAAAGAAAGGAACTGGATAGGTCGGACTATTATCAGGAATAGCTTTGTTTACAGTACGCAAAAGAAGCAAGATTTGTTATAGGGGATTACATGTGTATGTATATGTATGTACATGTATGTCTATGTATATGCATTTTTTTAGATCAACTGATACAGTTGGGGAAAAAAAAGCAACCCTTTGCTCAGAGCACTGCTGCTGTCTGCAGACATAATGAAGGGAACAAGCCTGAACAACCGTCTCTTGTTTCCAGCTCCATCAGGCAGACCACTGAAAGATACAACCGCTTCCCTGCTTCACAAATCTTGCTGGGATCAAGAAAACAGGACCGGGAAATGTTCAGGTTGAGGAGGAAACTGGGCACTAACTCAGCTTCTGTGGGTGTTATTCAGCAAATATCAGAAGAAGAGGGATGAAAGAGACTATCTGTTTGCCTTCTGTGCGGTTCAG